GCTGTAGGTTGTTGGCTGTAGGTTGTTGGCTGTAGGTTGTTGGCTGTAGGTTATTGGCTGTAGGTGGTTGGCTGTAGGTTGTTGGCTGTAGGTTATTGGCTGTAGGTTGTTGGCTGTAGGTGTTGGCTGTAGGTTGTTGGTAGGTTATTGACTGTAGGGTTGTTGCTGAGGGGTGCTGTAGGTGTTGGCTGTAGGTTATTGGCGTAGGTTGTGGCCTTGTAGGTTGTTGGCTGTAGGTTATTGGCTGTAGGTTGTTGGCTGTAGGTTGTTGGCTGTAGGTTGTTGGCTGTATGTTATTGGCTGTAGGTTGTTGGCTGTAGTGTTGTTGGCTGTAGGTGTTGGCTGTAGGTTATTGGCTGTAGGTTGTTGTTAGCTGTAGATTATTGGCTGTAGGTTGGGCTGTAGGTTATTGGCTGTAGGTTGTTGGCTGTAGGTTATTGGCTGTAGGTGTTGGCTGTAGGTTGTTGGCTGTAGGTTGTTGTGGCTGTAGGTTATTGGCTGTAGGTTATTGGCTGTAGATTGTTGGCTGTAGGTTGTTGGCTGTAGGTTGGGCTGTGGTTATTGGCTGTAGGTTGTTGGCTGTAGGTTGTTGGCTTGTGTTGTTGGCTGTAGGTTATTGCTGTAGGTTGGTTGGCTGTAGGTTGTTGGCTGTAGGTTATTGGCTGTAGGTTGTTGGCTGTAGGTTTATTGGCTGTAGGTTGTTGGCTGTATGTTATTGGCTGTAGGTTGTTGGCTGTAGGTTGTTGGCTGTAGGTTATTGGCTGTAGGTTGTTGGCTGTAGGTTATTGGCTGTAGGTTGTTGGCTGTAGGTTATTGGCTGTAGGTTGTTGGCTGTAGGTTGTTGGCTGTAGGTTGTTGGCTGTAGGTTGTTGGCTGTAGGTTGTTGGCTGTAGGTTGTTGGCTGTAGGTTGTTGGCTGTAGGTTGTTGGCTGTAGGTTGTTGGCTGTAGGTTGTTGGCTGTAGGTTGTTGGCTGTAGGTTGTTGGCTGTAGGTTATTGGCTGTAGGTTGTTGGCTGTAGGTTATTGGCTGTAGGTTGTTGGCTGTAGGTTATTGGCTGTAGGTTGTTGGCTGTAGGTTGTGGCTGTAGGTTGTTGGCTGTAGGTTGTTGGCTGTAGGTTGTTGGCTGTAGGTTATTGGCTGTAGGTTGTTGGCTGTAGGTTGTTGGCTGTAGGTTGTTGGCTGTAGGTGGTTGGCTGTAGGTTATTGGCTGTAGGTTATTGGCTGTAGGTTGTTGGCTGTAGGTTATTGGCTGTAGTGTTGCTGTAGGTTTTGGCTAGGTTGTTGCTGTAGGTTATTGGCTGTAGGTTGTTGGCTGTAGGTTGTTGGCTGGAGGTTATTGGCTGTAGGTTTTGGCTGTAGGTGTTGGCTGTAGGTTATTGGCTGTAGGTTGTTGGCTGTAGGTTGTTGGCTGTAGTGTATTGGCTGTAGGTTGTTGGCTGTAGGTTGTTGGCTGTAGGTGGTTGGCTGTAGGTTGTTGGCTGTAGGTTGTTGGCTGTAGGTTATTGGCTGTAGGTTGTTGGCTGTAGGTTATTGGCTGTAGGTGGTTGGCTGTAGGTTGTTGGCTGTAGGTTATTGGCTGTAGGTTGTTGGCTGTAGGTTGTTGGCTGTAGGTTATTGGCTGTAGGTTGTTGGCTGTAGGTTATTGGCTGTAGGTTATTGGCTGTAGGTTGTTGGCTGTAGGTTATTGGCTGTAGGTTATTGGCTGTAGGTTATTGGCTGTAGGTTGTTGGCTGTAGGTTATTGGCTGTAGGTTGTTGGCTGTGGTTATTGGCTGTAGGTTGTTGGCTGTAGGTTATTGGCTGTAGGTTATTGGCTGTAGGTTGTTGGCTGTAGGTTATTGGCTGTAGGTTATTGGCTGTAGGTTATTGGCTGTAGGTTATTGGCTGTATATTGTTGGCTGTAGGTTGTTGGCTGTAGGTTGTTGGCTGTAGGTTATTGGCTGTAGGTTATTGGCTGTATATTGTTGGCTGTAGGTTGTTGGCTGTAGGTTATTGGCTGTAGGTTATTGGCTGTAGGTTATTGGCTGTAGGTTATTGGCTGTATTTGTTGGCTGTAGGTTGTTGGCTGTAGGTTGTTGAGTATGTTATTGGCTGTAGGTTATTGGCCTTGTAGGTTATTGGCTGTATATTGTTGGCTGTAGGTTGTTGGCTGTAGTTGTTGGCTGTAGGGTTATTGGCTGTAGGTTATTGGCTGTAGGTTGGTTGGCTGTAGGTTGTTTGGCTGGTAGGTCTTTGGCTTCTGTAGGTTTGTTAGCTCGAGGTTATTGGCTTGTAGGTTCATTGGCTGTAGGCTGTTTTGGTTGGCTGTAGGTTGTTGGCTGTAGGTTATTGGCTGTAGGTTTTTGGCTGTAGGTTATTGGCTGTAGGTGTTGGACTGTCGGTTGTTGGCTTGTAGGTTATTGGCTGTAGGTTGTTGGCTGTAGGTTGTTGGCTGTAGGTTATTGGCTGTAGGTTGTTAGCTGTAGGTTATTTGGCTGTAGGTTATTGGCTGTAGGTTGTTGGCTGTTAGGTTATTGGCTTGTAGGTTGTTAGCTGTAGGTTATTGGCTGTAGGTTATTGGCTGTAGGTTGTTGGCTGTAGGGTTGGTTGCTGTAGGTTATTGGCTGTAGGTTATTGGCTGTAGGTTGTTGGCTGTAGGTTATTGGCTGTAGGTTGTTGGCTGTAGGTTGTTGGCTGTAGGTTATTGGCTGTAGGTTATTGGCTGTAGGTTGTTGGCTGTAGGTTGTTGGCTGTGTTCACATACTTATTTGATTATTAAAATGCAAACCGATCTTTTTCCTATGGGTGTTTAGAGTTCCCCTGGATCAGGGGCCTCATTTATAAAGCTCGTAGGGAAGGTGACAGAACATGACATAAGTATAAAAAAATAAACGATGCTGTTCCTACTTTGTTTGGACCAGCGGGAGATTCGGGTACACAACCTGTAAGTATTCATTGTTGTTTGTGTATTTATGATGTTTAAAACAAACAAGGTATCTACCACGACTGTTTAAATGGGTAAACGTTTTTCGGGCTACTAAGTTGGGATGGCGGAGAAATGCTCTCTGCAGATGCTCGCAGCGTTAAACCTTTTTCTTACTCAATATCAAGCCACACTTATTGTTTTTACTTCGGCTGTGAGTGTGTGTGTGCTCAGGATGAGTTTCGCTTGTTCTCACTGTATCGCCGACCCGGAAGCCTGTCTGCTCCTCGCAGCAGATCGTAGCAACGAGCCTCTCAACGTCCCGACCAATCAGAGCATAGTGGGCTCACAGGGAGGGGGGGGGGGGGGCGGAGCTCCAACAAGCCGTTTAGGTCAGAGAGTGAATACACAGAGATGCTGTGAGAAACCAATGTGAGTTTGGAACATTGAACAATGTGAATCTATTCTAGTCGACCTCAACTATGGAACTATGATCAGTAGAAATGGCCATGACACGGGACCTTTAAACTGACGCCGTTTTGAATTTCTATAGGTTGTATATAGATACGAGCATGGTTTATACAATCATGTTACTTTGCAAAACACATTTAGACGTGATCGCAACACAGAAGTACCTTTCAAATCTCATCATCTTAAGACCTTCTAAATCATATTTAAGGCCTTTCTTATTTTTTGATCATATTAAAAAGGCCTTCAATTCTGATTATCAAATGTAAGACTTTTTAAGACCCCGCGTGGTACGGTAGCTTCTAGCTTCGTGTCGAACAGTAAGTCAACATTTTCCAAAGAGCTTTCTTTGAAATCACCGGGTAAAGCTAAATAACATAAAATGCAGATTTTATGACAAAGTGTTGATTTAATATCTCCGGCTAGCTATGGTCAGAGGACACCTCGGACTAGGCTAGTTGAGAAAGTCTGGACGTCCTTCTCAACAATATAACTTATTAACTTACTTCATGGTAATAAAAAGTTCTGAAGAAATCGCTGGAGGCAAAAAATAACTTTACTTCAAAGACAAAAACAAAGTCCGAGCAGACCCCGGATCGTACGGCTAACCAAACGTTGTTTCGAGCACTTTATAGCTAAACCTTCTTGTTCCTTATTGGTTGACCTCGGTGAAAGTCGCTACACCACTCCCCGCTTCTTTGTAACTTTTTTCCACATGCGTTTGCGTTGAATTATTTCTCCGCCAACGTGCCCGTAACTCTTTTTGCCAACGTTTGCAATCATGTTACTTCCGCACACGTGGCCTGGAGGCGTTCCATCACATTGACTGCTTCTCGACCTCCACCAAGGTTCACCATCAAGTGAGAAGCAGTTCTACTCTGAGGCCTTGTTTCTTACACACAATTGTTGGTTAACTTTAACTAGCACAATATTCTTTACTTGTTGCATTACATAACCCTTATTTTATGTAATATATAACACTATAGTTACTTGCTAACGGTTTAGCTTACCCTCGTGATTCAAAGTAACGTCAACGTAGCTGTAATTTATGCTTTGCTTACATGTTCGCGTAACTTGGACGTTTACTGACATTTACCTTGTCCACCTGGCTGGTGGCTCGGAGGAGGACCGTCTTCTGTTAGAGGAAAACGTCTTCTTGTGTTTTCTTTGTTTTCAATTGTCATACATGAACATCATACAGTTGACGACAGACATACAAAGCAACAACACATTACATACAGTAAATAAAGAAACCGAAAAAAAGGAAAGAAATACATTTTGAAACTTCAGATTAAATATGTTTTAAATATCAAATTAGATTTGATTGCCTTCTCATTCCTAATGTTTTTAATAGTGCTAACATTGTTTAAATTATCCTCTTGTCAGGTACCTGTCAGCCAATAAGACACGTTTATTTCCATCCAACTCTCTGATTGGTCGGGTGTCTTGCCTCTGTTGCATTCACTGAACGCAGTAAAGGACAACCCTATCGTCCTCTCAAGTGTCAGGAGGTTCAGGGAGAACTGTCCTCACGAAGCAAGCGTTATATTCTCCTGTGATTAATAACTAATACAGGAAGGAGCATTTTAATGAGGAAGAAATGATGAGTGATAAACAAACTAAAAGTAGAAACTTTGTTCACCGTGTTTTTATTGTTATTATTTTGTGGAAAGCAAAATAAAGAGTTGTCAGTTTATTGTGACGCATTAAATCAAACAGGAAGGGGAGGAGTTTACAGGAGAGGCGGGACTAATATAAGGTGACGAAGGTGAAGTGGGAAGGAGTGAGCGGGGCCTTAGATGAACAGAGGCGGGGCGTGGGGAGACATGGGCGGGGCCTGATATGAACAGAGGCGGGGTGTGGAGAGACGTGGGCGGGGCCTGATATGAACAGAGGCGGGGTGTGGAGAGATGTGGGCGGGGCCTCAGATGGGCGTGGGGATACGGTGAAGAAGGCTGGGCCTCGTGGGAAGTGGGCGGGGCCTCAGAGGAAGGCGTCGCACCACTCCCTCAGACACTGACTGCAGGACCCCGCCTGGCGGCTGTTGGCTCCGCTGGCGTCCTTCAACCACTCAGAAAACATCTCAGAGTCTTTCTTCAGCAGCAGGAACTGACCCAGCACCACGTACGCCTGGGGGGGGGGGGGGGAAGAGAGTACATCAACACACTTTAATGTAATGTTTCTAAGTATGTCAATTTAAAAAAGGTGTTTTTTAAGGGTTTTATGGATAAGAGGAAGAAACCCCGGTCCTGGCCATCGGGAGGACCGGGAGGTTTCCCGATGGCCCGGCCTGTTACGTGGCCTGCTGGCCCGAGGATTTATTTTTGTATGTATTGTGAACGTAATGCTGCGCAAATGTGGGTCTGCCTCACACGGGGTGACTGTCTATCTTCTTCCACACAAGAAGATGTTCCATAGATCGAGTCTCTTTATTTCCCCCTCAAAGTGCACCAAATTGATGCATGCCCCCGGACCCCCCTAGAGGGTTTTGAGGTCCCACTTAAAATATGTTCACATGGATAAGTTCCTAAATACATTTGCAAATTTTTTAAATAGTAACCCATGTCCATATGTTTATTCTGGGGTAAATGTAACCGATAGGGCGATCACTACGGGCAGCAACATGGCACAAAGAGGACTGGTAGTGCCAGGCTGGGTGTTTCATTCCCGGCCTGACCCCTAACCCCTGATAAGGGTCTGTGTGCAGTGTAGAGGGTTTGTTATGAGGAAATAAAAGCCTTTATTTTTTTTTTATTGTCTCCTAAGTGTCTTCTCAGTGTCTCCTAAGTGTCTCCTCTAAGTGTATTTCTAAGTGTTCTCTAAGTGTATTTCCCTGACCTTATCGAAGCCCTGCTGCTCCAGTTTCTTCCCCAGGATTTCTCCGATCCCCGACAGACTCGTCACCGACTTGTCGCCCATCGGCTCGCCCACAAAGTCCCGATGTTTCTGAGACGTGGTCGACATCCTGAGGAGAAACTGAACTGCTTCATTAAAAACCTCCCAACATACACGCTGTGATAATGAGATAAGAGTTGAACTGGATCATTATCTCTAACGACGAGGCGGTTCATCCTGATGCTCTGAAGAGTCAGTTTGTTGAAGCAGGAAACGGAACAAGTCTAAAACATTTCAGTTCAGGATTTCTAAAAAGAAACCCGTTAATAATTATCACACCTTTTCGTCTTCAAACTTAACGAGTGTTCATAAAATATTACAAACTTTGATCTTTCTTGAAATGTTATTTACTCTTATGAGCTTTTCCCCTCAAAATGTATTTAGGTTTTTAGTTGAAATGTGTCTGACTCTCTAATCCTTCATCTCTTTACGTTTCAGCTCTCAGAGAAACTCAGGGTCATTAAATACTTCCTCACAAAGTACTCCTTTACTTCAATTCTGAGGTACTTGTACTTTACTGGTGTATCTCCATGTTCTGCTACTGTGTACTTCCACTACAGTTCAGAGGTACATGGTTTACTTTTATTCAAGTACAAGATCTGAGTACTTCTACTTTTACTCAAGTACAAGACCTGAGTACTTCTACTTTTACTCAAGTTCAAGACCTGAGTACTTCTACTTTTACTCAAGTTCAAGACCTGAGTACTTCTACTTTTACTCAAGTACAAGACCTGAGTACTTCTACTTTTACTCAAGTTCAAGACCTGAGTACTTCTACTTTTACTCAAGTACAAGACCTGAGTACTTTTACTCAAGTACAAGATCTGAGTACTTCTACTTTTACTCAAGTACAAGATCTGAGTACTTCTACTTTTACTCAAGTACAAGATCTGAGTACTTTTACTCAAGTACAAGATCTGAGTACTTCTACTTTTACTCAAGTACAAGACCTGAGTACTTCTACTTTTACTCAAGTACAAGACCTGAGTACTTCTACTTTTACTCAAGTACAAGATCTGAGTACTTCTACTTTTACTCAAGTACAAGACCTGAGTACTTCTAATTTTACTCAAGTACAAGACCTGAGTACTTCTACTTTTACTCAAGTACAAGACCTGAGTACTTCTACTTTTACTCAAGTACAAGACCTGAGTACTTCTACTCAAGTACAAGATCTGAGTACTTCTACTTTTACTCAAGTACAAGATCTGAGTACTTTTACTCAAGTACAAGATCTGAGTACTTTTACTCAAGTACAAGATCTGAGTACTTTTACTCAAGTACAAGATCTGAGTACTTCTACTTTTACTCAAGTACAAGACCTGAGTACTTCTACTTTTACTCAAGTACAAGACCTGAGTACTTCTACTTTTACTCAAGTACAAGAACTGAGTACTTCTACTTTTACTCAAGTACAAGACCCGAGTACTTCTACTTTTACTCAAGTACAAGACCTGAGTACTTTTACTCAAGTACAAGACCTGAGTACTTCTACTTTTACTCAAGTACAAGACCTGAGTACTTTTACTCAAGTACAAGATCTGAGTACTTCTACTTTTACTCAAGTACAAGATCTGAGTACTTCTACTTTTACTCAAGTACAAGATCTGAGTACTTCTACTTTACTCAAGTACAAGATCTGAGTACTTCTACTTTTACTCAAGTACAAGACCTGAGTACTTCTACTTTTACTCAAGTACAAGACCTGAGTACTTCTACTTTTACTCAAGTACAAGACCTGAGTACTTCTACTTTTACTCAAGTACAAGATCTGAGTACTTCTACTCAAGTACAAGATCTGAGTACTTCTACTCAAGTACAAGATCTGAGTACTTCTACTCAAGTACAAGATCTGAGTACTTCTACTCAAGTACAAGATCTGAGTACTTCTACTTTTACTCAAGTACAAGACCTGAGTATTTCTACTTTTACTCAAGTACAAGACCTGAGTACTTTTACTCAAGTACAAGATCTGAGTACTTTTACTCAAGTACAAGATCTGAGTACTTCTACTTTTACTCAAGTACAAGATCTGAGTACTTCTACTTTTACTCAAGTACAAGATCTGAGTACTTCTACTTTTACTCAAGTACAAGATCTGAGTACTTCTACTTTTACTCAAGTACAAGACCTGAGTACTTCTACTTTTACTCAAGTACAAGACCTGAGTACTTCTACTTTTACTCAAGTACAAGATCTGAGTACTTCTACTCAAGTACAAGATCTGAGTACTTCTACTTTTACTCAAGTACAAGACCTGGCTACTTCTACTTTTACTCAAGTACAAGACCTGAGTACTTCTACTTTTACTCAAGTACAAGAACTGAGTACTTCTACTTTTACTCAAGTACAAGACCTGGGTACTTCTACTTTTACTCAAGTACAAGACCTGAGTACTTTTACTCAAGTACAAGAACTGAGTACTTCTACTTTTACTCAAGTACAAGACCCGAGTACTTCTACTCAAGTACAAGACCCGAGTACTTCTACTTTTACTCAAGTACAAGACCTGAGTACTTCTACTTTTACTCAAGTACAAGACCTGAGTACTTCTACTTTTACTCAAGTACAAGATCTGAGTACTTCTACTTTTACTCAAGTACAAGATCTGAGTACTTCTACTTTTACTCAAGTACAAGACCTGAGTACTTCTACTTTTACTCAAGTACAAGACCTGAGTACTTCTACTTTTACTCAAGTACAAGACCTGAGTACTTCTACTTTTACTCAAGTACAAGATCTGAGTACTTCTACTCAAGTACAAGATCTGAGTACTTCTACTCAAGTACAAGATCTGAGTACTTCTACTTTTACTCAAGTACAAGATCTGAGTACTTCTACTTTTACTCAAGTACAAGATCTGAGTACTTCTACTTTTACTCAAGTACAAGATCTGAGTACTTCTACTTTTACTCAAGTACAAGACCTGAGTACTTCTACTTTTACTCAAGTACAAGACCTGAGTACTTCTACTTTTACTCAAGTACAAGATCTGAGTACTTCTACTCAAGTACAAGATCTGAGTACTTCTACTTTTACTCAAGTACAAGACCTGGCTACTTCTACTTTTACTCAAGTACAAGACCTGAGTACTTCTACTTTTACTCAAGTACAAGAACTGAGTACTTCTACTTTTACTCAAGTACAAGACCTGAGTACTTCTACTTTTACTCAAGTACAAGACCTGAGTACTTTTACTCAAGTACAAGAACTGAGTACTTCTACTTTTACTCAAGTACAAGACCTGAGTACTTCTACTCAAGTACAAGACCCGAGTACTTCTACTTTTACTCAAGTACTTCTACTTTTACTCAAGTACAAGATCTGAGTACTTCTACTTTTACTCAAGTACAAGATCTGAGTACTTTTACTTTTACTCAAGTACAAGATCTGAGTACTTTTACTTTTACTCAAGTACAAGATCTGAGTACTTCTACTTTTACTCCAAGTACAAGACCTGACTACTTCTACTTTTACTCAAGTACAAGACCTGAGTACTTCTACTTTTACTCAAGTACAAGACCCGAGTACTTCTACTTTTACTCAAGTACAAGACCCGAGTACTTCTACTTTTACTCAAGTACAAGACCCGAGTACTTCTACTTTTACTCAAGTACAAGACCTGAGTACTTCTACTTTTACTCAAGTACAAGACCTGAGTACTTCTACTTTTACTCAAGTACAAGACCTGAGTACTTCTACTTTTACTCAAGTACAAGATCTGAGTACTTCTACTTTTACTCAAGTACAAGATCTGAGTACTTCTACTTTTACTCAAGTACAATATCTGAGTACTTCTACTTTTACTCAAGTACAAGACCTGAGTACTTCTACTTTTACTCAAGTACAAGACCTGAGTACTTCTACTTTTACTCAAGTACAAGATCTGAGTACTTCTACTTTTACTCAAGTACAAGACCTGAGTACTTTTACTCAAGTACAAGATCTGAGTACTTCTACTTTTACTCAAGTACAAGATCTGAGTACTTCTACTTTTACTCAAGTACAATATCTGAGTACTTCTACTTTTACTCAAGTACAAGATCTGAGTACTTCTACTTTTACTCAAGTACAAGATCTGAGTACTTTTACTCAAGTACAAGATCTGAGTACTTCTACTTTTACTCAAGTACAAGATCTGAGTACTTCTACTTTTACTCAAGTACAAGATCTGAGTACTTTTACTCAAGTACAAGATCTGAGTACTTCTACTTTTACTCAAGTACAAGACCTGAGTACTTCTACTTTTACTCAAGTACAAGACCTGAGTACTTTTACTCAAGTACAAGATCTGAGTACTTCTACTTTTACTCAAGTACAATATCTGAGTACTTCTACTTTTACTCAAGTACAAGACCTGAGTACTTCTACTTTTACTCAAGTACAAGATCTGAGTACTTCTACTCAAGTACAAGATCTGAGTACTTCTACTCAAGTACAAGATCTGAGTACTTCTACTTTTACTCAAGTACAAGACCTGAGTATTTCTACTTTTACTCAAGTACAAGACCTGAGTACTTTTACTCAAGTACAAGACCTGAGTACTTCTACTTTTACTCAAGTACAAGACCTGAGTACTTTTACTCAAGTACAAGACCCGAGTACTTCTACTCAAGTACAAGACCCGAGTACTTCTACTTTTACTCAAGTACAAGACCCGAGTACTTCTACTCAAGTACAAGACCCGAGTACTTCTACTTTTACTCAAGTACAAGATCTGAGTACTTCTACTTTTACTCAAGTACAAGATCTGAGTACTTCTACTTTTACTCAAGTACAAGATCTGAGTACTTCTACTTTTACTCAAGTACAATATCTGAGTACTTCTACTTTTACTCAAGTACAAGACCTGAGTACTTCTACTTTTACTCAAGTACAAGATCTGAGTACTTCTACTCAAGTACAAGATCTGAGTACTTCTACTCAAGTACAAGATCTGAGTACTTCTACTCAAGTACAAGATCTGAGTACTTCTACTCAAGTACAAGATCTGAGTACTTCTACTCAAGTACAAGATCTGAGTACTTCTACTCAAGTACAAGACCTGAGTACTTCTACTTTTACTCAAGTACCAGATCTGAGTACTTCTACTTTTACTCAAGTACCAGATCTGAGTA